CAGTGTGTTAATCAACAAGAAGACGAATCTGTAATAATAAAACAAATAGGAATAAATACAATTGCAATAACTAACCCTCTCCCAACTTTAAAAATTCGAACATTTAACACTACTCTAACTAACTTAACACTAAATTACAACTACCCTAGTCTAATAAAACTAACCTTACCATGTAATCAAGAATTATTAAAAAATTATGAAATACTCATACCCAAATTGTACCCATACGAAATGAATAATGTAGGAAAATTTTTAATTAGACGTGTAATTCNTAATAAATATTGTTATTTCCAGTGTGTTAATCAACAAGAAACGTGTAATTTCGATATCATAGACTAATATACAGTCACTTAAAATACAGCATGAGGAACAGAGTGAAAAAATATATTTTGCAAACTTAACAGAAATCTTAGACAGAGACTGGGTAAATAAAATACCAAATTTTCACATTACAAAACAAATGCCAAATCCAGAAAAGTTCTTTAATGACATCATTTTAAAACAAATATCACACCTTTTATAGATGAATTTCTTGGGGATATAATATATCTATCATGGCTGACAATATTATCATTGGTCATAATTTTTTTGTGTTGCAAAATATATCCTATAATAAAAATGGATATGATTTTAGTGCCACCTCCAGTTCCAAGGAGACAATTCTAAATACTTATCATATATTAACTTATTGCTCATATGAAACATACAAACTACTCTAACATTAATTTAAGCTAATAAATTTTATTTTTCACAGGTAAAACTCGTTAAACTAACTTATAACTTTCTACTGACTCTTTTATTCTTTTACTACAACTTTTTACAAAATGGACAATAATTACAAATTTTAAATTATAGATTTTGAATTTGGAATGTTAAGAAGATATGACATTGTCTTAGTAAGTGGAGCCATATCAGGTAGTTTAGACAAAGATCAAATAATAAAATTAGAAGGGACACGATTAATACTGGGTAAAAAGTACACACAACTATTAACGAAAAGTCTCTGGTCACCTTTTGTTAAAGGGGTAATGAAAATATTCAAAGGAAAAGAGTAAAGGGCCTACCCTCTCTTAGCAGAACTACTTGACAGCCAATTCGCAAGGACTGACACACTTAACCACGATTTTATTTACAGGACAATTTTGAATAATTCAGAAATTCCAGTAATAGTAGTTTTCGAGGGAAATACGAACGGTGAAATCTTAAAAAGACTTAAAATATATGTTACTATTCTTAACATTTCTGCAACGGAGGATAAAGATAATAGAATAAAATTTTATCTAACATTAACAAATCTAAAATCAAGGGAACTTTATTTTAAGCAGATGTTAGGAATATGTTACAAAAATGGTAACATGTTAAGCCTGGGGGAAATGCATTTCTTTATTTGTGAAAACAAACATGGGGTACAAAACTATCACGATCCAAGGTATGACGTCAGAATAACTAAGTGCGTTTTTGACCATATTGCGAAAAGATTGAAAATTAACAACCTTATAGATTTACTAGAATTATACACTCAAACACTTAACAGAAAATGGCACAGCCCGCTAATGTGAGATATTTGTCAACTGAACAAAAACAAAAAATTGAAAAAAGCTTATACAAATCAACAAAACCCAAAAGGAAATGGCCCACTCACAAACAAAGAAATCAGACAAAAAATTAGCAACATAAGTGGAAAGACTATTGTGCGACCTAGAAATTAATCTTAAAGAACAAGAAGCCATTCAACAAAGTATAAAGCAATAACAGTAATCAACAACAAAGAACATATGTAAATAAAAAAATGTATAATAATTATCTATTTTAGAATAAGGGAGAAATAAGATTAAGAAAAATTGAGGANGGGAGTAAACAGGTGTTTAGCCCCCTTTTTAAAAATACCTGCACACTAGGGTGACAATTAAAAAAAATTTTCACTATTTTGAAGGGCCCACCCATTTAAATTATGTGTTTTTACAATATAAAGGTCCATAAAAAAATTAAACAATAAATAACAATAATTACTGGTCGCGCAATATGATTTTATTTTAAATTTTTTACATCACAAAGATTAAAAAAATAAAAAAACTATTTTTTTTTTTAAATGGTATATAATTATTTAAAAAACTCAAAACATTTAATTATTTTTTTATTTGGGTTAGGATATTGTTTTCGATGTTGTTCAACTACTTGCAAGAGATACTGTTTTTGTTCTTCTTGATTAGTAAGTATCCCATTAAATGATTGAATCAAAGATATCCCACGTTCGGCAGCGTCGTTTACTACTTTTAAACTTTGTATCCTTTTACGCCCATCAATATAATTAGCGTTTTCTTCCCAAGTACTTGGATGTTGACTAAAAAAATCTTGTAGTACATTTAGCGCTGTAGATAATTTTAAGGTATTATTAGTTACAAAATCGCACAACTGCATTGTTTTAACTGCATTCAACTCGAATTTAATACGTCATTGTGGGTTGACGGCTCCCTTGTTTTCCAATGATTTCACCATTTTTATTTTCATTTCAGTTGGCACTTTTCTGTCAAAAAAAGCCAGTCCCACGAGAGTGTCACTTAAATACCATAAATGCCTAGAGAAACTTTTAATAGCAGCATCAGCTATAATTTCATGAGTATTTTTATATAAATTAAGCTCTTTCAATAGATTTAAATCGTTGAAAGGAGCTGATTCCCCACAAGGAGCAGTGTACCAAAGTTTTATGTAAACTTGTAGTACAAAAATATTAAAAGCTTGTAGTGACGATAGTTCTTGTGTGGTTAATTTGATTTGTGATCTAAATAAGTAGATTTTCATACTATAGATAATCTTCGCCTTTTGAGTAGGAATTGTCCAAAATGTACATATTTCTCTTGCTGTGATGGTAGCACTAATTTGAATAGTTTTTTTTTCATGCAAATGCAAAGAAAAAAACGACGAAGTACTTGCTGGTTAGATGGTAGTTTGCAATCAGTAATTGATTCGAGTGTACCTTCAACTAGCCAAACTCCTCGATCCTTTACGTAACTTGAAGTTTTAGTACTTGTGCTTGCCATAATATTTTAATTACATATAAAATTACACATATATGAACTAAATAATAAAAAAAATATTAACATCAGAGTGGAATTATTTTAATTATCACAAATACACAAAATTTGAACACAATTATTCATAAAATATGAACTTAACGAAACACTTAAATATAAAATATTTATAAAAGTGTGGCTATATTATCACGAAGAATTATGTTGACAGTTTAAAATGACAATTTGTACTGGCATACTGCAAAAGAGTCGCTAACATCAGTGTATTATCGTCGATAATGAGAGCTCATGAAATCGTGATATCAAAGTTATTTATAAACAAATAATAAAGCTCTGCGCGACCTCTAAACATCGACAAAATTAGATAAAATTTTCAGAACATGTATATTTTACCCATATGAATATTTTAAAAGGGTGGTACAAAAGAAAAATTTAAATAAAATTTTTGTCAAATAAAATGTTGTCACCCTACTGCGCACGATACTAATCTAATACATATGTAACATAATTCAAAATAGATTTCAACTATTGTTGATGATATAATATTTTTATTTTTATTTTTTATCTTAAGATAACATTAATTAAAATTTAATAAACTAGCTGTGTCTGTTTTTTAAATAAAAATGTATTTATTTTTTTAAAAAAGTTCAATTTTATAAAATTTAATAATTTACATTAATGACGTACAACATGAAAATCCTATTCTAAGTATGTAAATACATAATTTTTTAATGATATAACAAAATATTTGAGAATTTTTCAAAGATTTTTAACAAAGGAGTTATCTTTATTCATTTTTTTATGTAAATCCATGTGCAAAGTTTAGTAAATCTATATTTTGCAAAATTGAATCCGTGGATGTTGACAATAACAAACACTGAGTATCCTTAGGACGGTGAGAATGTCGGATTTCAAAACTTTGTTTTTAAGACCTTTCTAATACTCAAGGATGGAATGCTAAAGAGGATATATACCTCCACCCCCACATTGCCCAATTATAATTTTAGCACTAGTAAAAGTATTTAAAAATTAAACAGGTCTTTAGTGCCCATTTTAAAAATACCCACGCGCGGCACTACTCTAATACATGTGTAATATTATTCAAATTAGATTTAAACTATTGTTGTTGATAATATTTTTATTTTAATGTTTATTGTTTTTATCTTAAGATAACATTAATTAAAATTTAATAAACTAGCTGTATGAGTTTTTTTTAAATAAAAATGTATTAATTTTTTGAAAAAAGTTCAATTTTATAAAATTAAAATAATTTACATTAATCACGTATAACATAAAAATCCATTACTCTACTAAGTATGTAAACACATAATTTATTAATAATATAACAAAATATTTGAGAATTTTTCATCTACTTAACTTAGCATTTATTATGTTAATTATATAGAAAAATTAAAAATAATTAAGCATTGCACAAAGCTTATTTTTCGTGATTCATAAAACCATATTATATATTTGCATCTGATTAAGTGTAAAACGTATTCATTCTATTCTTCACAAACTTCTTTTTAATCTCATTCAACAATTTCTTTTAAAAATAATCTTTTGAAGAACGCAGCACTCTAAAAGAGTTATCTTCCCTCATTTTTTTATGTAAATCCAAATGCAAAGTATAGTAAATCTATATTCTGCAAAATTGAATCCCTGGATGGTGACAATAACAAACACTGAGTACCCGTCTCTGTGTACAGGACACTTTTAGTTAACTCATTTAATTCAGATACGGAATTTGTCTGGGTATATCTCTCAACACTTGTAGCTGGTTTATATAATTGAGTTAATTTATATTCATCTAGTTTATCTATATTTGAATCATAACATAATGTAAAATAATTTTAATAAAATTAGTTTTATATGATTCATATAAGTAAACTTACACATGAGTTATGAAAGTCTAAATAATTTGTTAGTAAAATTTTTAATTAAAAAAAAAACGAATTTTCTTAGAAATACCTGTTAAAACTGGAGATGACTCAAAATGTGATTCCACAGTAAGTGGTGTTATAGAGCACTGAGAAGCGATTTCTAAATATTCAACATTTAAGGGCGAATTGAATGAAGATTCATCAGTTTGTGTTTCTATAAACTTAGCCTTAATTTTGGTCTGTGTACACTGCTCGTCGTAAGATATTTCAGAGGTTTGAGTAGTGCTCTCCGTATGTTCGACCTTTAATGTTGATTTGTCTGTTTGTGTACCAAATACAACTAACTCAGCTTCAATTTGAGTCTGAGTATATATGTCACAAGTCAATATTAAGCTCTGAGCAGCATTATCGTTATTTTCCTGTGTCTGCGGAACTACGTTATGTGTAATTGTCTGTGCTTCACAATCTACAGAAGTGACTAAATGAATATAAAAAGAAGTTAAATATGTTTAAGTTTTCTATCATTTTTAGTAAACAAATCAGTCATTAAATATAATCAATTCCCTATTTACCTATTTTCTTTTTCTTGAAACAAAGCCTCTTCTTTAAATTTCTATAATAGCGCTTTAAAAGATTAGCCATTTAATTAAAGTACAATTATTTTTTGAAATTAAAACTTTATTTTATTTATAAAACACAATATATAATTTTTTATTCGATCTATTAGTCAAAAAAACTGTTGTTGATTTTAAAGTGAAGCAAAATTAATATCAATGTTAAAAATGTACAAAGTTGCTATAAACATTTCTTATAAACCAGTTAATAAGTGTAAAGCAATGTGTTATATATATTTTAAACGGTACTTTTAATGATGAAAACTCAAATGCTGCAAATTTTTTTTTGTATAAAAACCCATATAATAAATGTATTGTACCAACATTTTACTTGTATACAATATGTTCAATAAATTTAGAAAGACCGATTTTTTAGAGCCGCTATTGATTTTTTTGATAATTTTTTTTTAGAGGCTAATTGATTGTTTAAATCCATCTTTTATGATTAAAATTAAAATTCAACCCTAATGTAAAAGGGTAAAATTCTACCCTAACTTAAGAAATTTAATAGGCAATACCTAATTTTTCTTACACATGTCAATAGATAATTCAATTTTAAAAAGAATTATGGTGAAAATAACTTTTTATGTTTAACCAATTTAAAATAATCGTCGTTTTAAGGGTAGAAAAGTGTTCTATTTTAATGCAGATTTTGCTATGATCATTTTTATTAATTTAATTATATAAAGGTGATATCAGTTTCAAATTTCATTTATTTCATTTATTTCAATATTTATTTATTTTATAATATACAAGACACAACATAATCAAACAGAAAAAAAAACAAATAAATATTGAGTACGCCACAGACGGCAATGAGTACAGAATATAAATACAAAATATCTAAATAATTAAATAAGTACAGCATACATAGAAGTTTAAATTATTAACATACAAAATTAATAATTAAAATACATCGCTACAAATAGATTTTAACTTGGTTAAATGGTCATTAAAGAAATCAAAATTTTTAATTAAATTGCAAAAATGTAGCATTCTATTGACCGGTGAATAATAACTATAATTCTGACGATATGAGTTAACATAAAATAAATTATTAGATCGGAGATGAAAATTAGGAACATTAAAAGGAATTAGACTTAAAATTTCTGGACAATCTACATTATTATTAAGGAGATTATAAATCCACAAAACGTCATTGCATTTTCTCCTGTAAGCAAGGGAAGTTAAACCAAGAGAGATTCCTATTTCCTCGATCGACATATTATAATCCCTAGACTTAAAAGAAATGAAGTGTAAAAAACGTCTTTGTATAGATTCTATTCTATTAATTTCACCTATTTTATATGGACACCAAATAATGGATGCATATTCTAAAATTATCTGCTAATTTATTATGAAACAAAACGGTTGTACATTGAGGTCGCGGCACAGTATAGATGATATCTATTATATTTATATTGTTGGATACACATCGATCGAATTGCTGTCAAGAAAATGTGTGTTTGATTATTCATGTTATCGTTGTGTTACATGGAGTTGTTGTCGGTTTTCTCTCTAAGTCACCGTTGTCGCCGCCATCTTAACGCTTCTTCTGCTATAAGCTCTATGGCGCTTGTGAGTCAGCAGTTTTGTATTCGTTTTACTGTAAAAAGAAAATATCACCTTTGCGATTGTCATACCCTGTGCGCTCAGTTTATCGCTGTTGGGTCTATATATTTTCTGAGATACATCAAAATACAGTTCACAACATATTGTACACGTTGGTCAACCACTTGTATTTAANAATTGTACACTTTGGTCAGCTACTTGCATTCGACTTCAATTGATCCTTTCAATATTCAACATTATCATCAGCCGTTTCATTTAGCAGATAAGTATAATGCTTGTTCATTTATCTTTCTAAGACTCATTTGTATAATTTATTATTTGTTTATATCATCGCCTTAGTGGCATTAGTATTAAGTGTCCCCCCTATCCACATTGGTGTATATAAGATTTTATATTTCTTGTATAATACATTTAAATTTTAAAATTATATATTGTGAAATGAATGCACTGGACTTCAAGGAACTTTCATCAGAAGCAAAAATATACTTTTCTAAATCAAATGCTCGCGTTGTTTTCAAATCTGCAAATAGACTTTATCTATCAGTTCTAACTTTTTATATTATTACTAATTACATATAAAATAATAATTAAAAGAAAAAAAAATTGTTTTCAAATTATTACTGATTTGATTTTTAATATGTTAAAAATAATCAGTCCAAATTTTCATTTTTAACCTATTTTTTTGGTTCTTTAAAGTTGATCAAAAATTTTTGATAAAGATTTATGAAAGTTTATAGTAAAAAAAATTGAATATATTACGATAACTTTTAACTCAATTACAAGTTTAAAATTGACATCTAGGTCAGTCAACAAAGGAAAAATTTCTTAAAAAATTCCCAATCAAATTTTGTTTTATTAATAGTTGAATTAAAATATGTATAATGACATATTATAGTCCTCATTGATTGAAATTGAGCTTTTTTTTACAGCCACGCAAAAGTTAAAAAATATGAGCTTTTTTAATTTTGTCAAAAAATATTTAGCAATTTATGAATCAAATTTGGTGTCTGAAGATTTACCTGACCCGGGCAAAGATCTAGATAGCCAATCTATGAACATGGATTATATTATTGAGCCACCTACAGCTTTTTCAGGTATTTATATGAAAATTCGTTTTTTTAGCTTCAATGAGAAGCTGAAAAGTTATTGGTTTTATTATGATGTGGTTTTTTTTTTTGAGTATGTTACCACTTTTTCTTAGCTCTCACCGAACCGATTTCCTTCAATGATACGTCAAAAGATTACAAATCGTATCTAGTCGAAGACATTACCTTCAAAAATTGATAAAAATTCCCTCGTTCCCCGTAAATGGGGGAAACCTCCAAAAAAATTACAAATTTAAAAATCGCTAATTTTCTAAGTTTTTTCAATTTTGTTTACTTAAAACTGCCATTACTTTCTTTAAAATGAACAAATCAATATAATTTTTTTTTTTGTTGATGTATTTACCTATCACTTATTATATTTATTTTTATAAATCTGACCATTTACCTGCCCTCAGAGTGGATTTAAAATGACAACTAATTAGATTTAACTTAAAGTGTCTTGTATTTACCTATCATTTATTATATATTTTATGATGTAAATAGATACGTCCACTCAGTGTTCATTATTGACACCTATCACAGATTCAATGTTGCAGTATATAGAGTCATTATACTATGTTTTTGGATTTACCGAGACTAGCTCTTTAAATGAGGTGCATAAAGAACCTGCTTTATCATTTATGAAGTTTGCAGGATTACCTGATGAAGTCGCAGATTTGGTTATAGAATTAATGAAAATGCGTCAAAATGTATTGCAACCAAATTTAGAGTCACCTCCAGTTATGACAAGTATTTATTAGAATATTCGTTTTTTTTTTTAATAACAAATTTTACTATAAGTTAATTAGACGACTGACATAACTCATGTATAATTTTTCTTATATGAATTATATACAAGTAATTTTTATTAAAAATATTTTTCATTATGTTATGATTCAAATATAGATAAACTAGATGAATATAAATTAACTCAATTCTATAAAACAGGTACACGTGTTGAGAGATATACTCAGACAAATTCTGTATCTGAATTAAATGATTTAACAGAGAATGTCCTGTATACAGAGACGGGTACTCAGTGTGAGTTATTGTCACCATCCACGGATTCAATTTTGCAGAATATTGATTTACTATACTCTGCATTTGGATTTAAATAAAAATTGAAGGAAGATTATTATGATTAAAAAAAAATTATTTTTGAAAGAAATTGTTGTTAAGTGTTAAACAGATGAAAAATTATAAATATTTTGTTGTATCATTAAAAAATTATGTACTTATATTCTTAATATAGTAACTTATTTTCATGTTATACGTCATTAATGAAAATTATTAAATTTTATAAAATTTTTCAAAAAGTTAATATATTTTTATTTGAAAAACAGATACGGCTTGCTTATTTAATTTTAATAAATGATATCTTAAGATAAAAACAATAATAATTAAAATAAAAATATTATATCATCAACAATAGTTGAAATCTAATTTGAATTATATTACATATGAATTAGAGTAGTAACGTGCGCAGGTATTTTTAAAAAGGGAGCTAAACACTTGTTTAATTTTTAAATACTTTTATTAGCGCAAAAATTATATACTTTTAAAATTATAGCTGGGTAATGTGTGGGTGGAGGTATATATCGTCTTCAGTATTTCATCCTTAGGTATTAGAATGGTCCTTAAAAACAAAATTTTGAAATCCATCATTCTCACCTTCCTAAATTGTTTTAGTTTATGCAAAAATAAACCGAGCAAAACTTGATATTGATTAATCTAAGTTAACACGTGTAGTAATAGGGTTGAAAAATTTAATGATAATGTTAGTTTTTCAGTTTTTATTGTTTATATCAAGAGCTATGATTGACATGGCAAAATTTATAGAAAAAAATGATAGATCAAGCTATTCATTAGTAAAAAATGTTTAATTTAATTTTCATAAATATATTTTATTCCTTTTTTTTTTTTTGATAATATTATAGAAAAAAAATACTAACAGTTAGGTACTTGCATTTTTTTATCCAATTCGTTGCATTATTTTTAGATAATATATGGGCATAAAGCGCGGATGAAACACATATACACCAGCTCGAACTGTAATCAATGGCCACAGCTTATTTATTAAATGACATAATAATAAGTATTCTATCATCATCCATAGAATCTAGAAACGAAATGTTTCAGCTAAATAAAATAAAATAAATTTTATAACACTTAAACTTGATTTAAGGTCGATGTACAATAAATGCACGGGACTCAGTTCATATTATTCAAGTAGTGATGATATATTAGGTCATGCCGTCGATTCTCTCATTATAAATAAGTCTTCTGTGTGTAGTAATACAATAATAAGAGTGTTTAAACGTGGTGTTTTGATCAAGGTTTGGATATTTTGGAGATTTGGTAGAGCAAATAAACAATTATATTTAATTGTCCAAAATATATACACTGTTTACAAGTTCGGAAAACCGATTTTTTAGAGCCGCTATTGATTTTTTTAATAATTTTTTTTTTGAGGCCAATTGAATAATTAAATTCATCTTTTACGATTAAAACTAAAGTTTAACCCTAACGCAAAAAGGTAGAAATCTATCCTAACTTAAGGAATTTAAATGGCAACCATTACTTTTTTTAAAATTTTTGGTTTGGTAATTTTATTTAAAACAACAATTTTTTTTTAATTTTAAAATTGAATAAGTCATTTTTGAGATTTTATTGTTTGAAAACATCAATTTTGAGTTGGGAAGCACATTTAGCCACAGTAAAAACTAATCAATCAATTATTGTTACTTGGTTTATCTTAATGATCGTATTTGAGCATGAGATGATCAATAAATATTGTTAAATTGATATTGTATCATATTAATAGAATTATTAAATATCATTAAAAATATGATTTACGATTGCTTTTTACGTTTATTGAGATACGTTAAGCTGAAACTCAAGCTACGCCACTGATTCTGAGCTGAGCAAGGGATCTAGAAGTTTTACAAGATATTATTATACTTCATTAAAAGGACTTTACACCCTCATTCGTTGCCTCCGTTTAACACACGTACGGCATAGTAAATTTTCGTTCACCAGTTTCAATAGTATGCTGTTAGTTTTGATATTAGAACGAATTTACATATCATCATACTTTTAGGTATGAATATTATCTGTTGTCTCTCGTTAGATTTTTACGATGTTTTAATTTTTAAATGAGTTATGATTTTATGAGCATAAAATGCATATAACTCACTTAAAGTTAAAATATCATAGAAAGCCAACAAAAAACACAGATAAGTGTTTATCTGTGAAGTGCTGCAAAGACCTACACATAGTTCTTTAAGACGAAAATTCCAAAGATATAAATGGACTAGATTTATTTGCGGAAATCGTAATTTTTATTTATTATTATACAAAGGGAAATGGTCAGATTTAAAAAAATAGTATGTCGAATGAAAGAGGTATATATAAAGTATTCATTATTAAAGAATAGAATTGTTTCATGCATTTTTTAAAAAGTTATAGCATCATAATGTTAAAAAATATAAAATATAATATTGAGAATTTTTATACTCATGCCGAAATTAACTTTAAGTTTTTAATCTGTACAGACATAAGACTATTTTTAATATTTCATTACGTTATATTTGAGCTTCGATGCGAAGTTGAAAAAGTATTAATTTTACCATGACGTATTTATTATGTTTTTCGCCTAAAGTGTAATAAAAGTTTCAAGATTTTAATTCATAGAGGTTACTATAAAGAACATTTTAAGGGCTAAATGTATCTTTTTCCATTATAGAATAATTTAAATAACAATAAACATAATTTTCTAAATTTTTAAAAGACTTCCTTAGTGTCACATATGGTTGTATTGCTTTGTATACTACATTTATGGAAAATTTAGCATGCAAATATATAATTAAATTAACAGCGAGAGCATTCACAAAAGTCAAGACATTTAAAATAGTTATCTAAATTAAAACTTATAACGAGCCACAACATTTATTAGTGCCTAAATTCAATTCTAATTTATCTGTAAGTTAAACGGCCCTTACTGTAAGCAATGCAACAATTTATCGTCGTTGATTGACCGATGATTATTTACCAACTGATAGTTGTAATAATATTATGTTATCAACAAATATAGTGTTTTTAAATTTTGTTATTCATAATTTTTATGGTATATTTTACTATTAGTAAAATTTTAAACAACTGATATTTTATTTAAGTAACAAGTTTAGAATTCAAGTTAAATAGGGAATGTTAATTGCTGATGGATTAGTTTTATAATTAAAAAAGTATTTAAAAAAGGGTTTATCCCGTAAATTAATAATAAATAAAAAAAATAAATAAATAAATAATTTAGACTTTTTCATTACTTAGATTAGCAAATTTAGTCAGCATATTTACAACTGTATTGACAGTAAATAAGTTAGAAAATTGTATGATTGTTTATAATGTTTACTTTTAATAATATATCTTGATACATTAAGTGTGATTTTCAACTTGTATTTTATATTTTTAAGGTATAAGCTCATAAAGTTATATTTTTTAATCATAACAGTTATCTATTTTATTAATTCAAAAATTGATTGTATTTAATATTTGCTAACATTTTGTAAATGATATACAATGTTGACTACTAATTAAGTTTTTTATCTTTATCATGCAACTTTAATTAGTATAATTTAAGGATCAAAGCAATTTAAAAGACACAAATAAAAATTTATTTATAAATAAATAAGATAAAATCTGTATTTATTTTGTGACAATATCCTACTATAAATACAAAAGTATTAATAAATTCACAATTCTTCATTACAGAGATATAAATTAATAGATAAACCAAGAAACATTTGAGTTTTCATCATTAAAAGNGTACAATACATTTATTATATGGGTTTTTATACAAAAAAAAATCTGCAGCATTTGAGTTTTCATCATTAAAAGTACCGTTTAAAATATATATAACACATTGCTTTACACTTATTAACTGGTTTATAAGAAATGTTTATAGCAACTTTGTACATTTTTAACATTGATATTAATTTTGCTTCACTTTAAAATCAACAACAGTTTTTTTGACTAATAGATCGAATAAAAAATTATATATTGTGTTTTAAAATAAAATAAAGTTTTAATTTCAAAAAGTAATTGTACTTTAATTAAATGGCTAATTTTTTAAAGCGCTATTATAGAAATTTAAAGAAGAGGCTTTGTTTCAAGAAAAAGAAAATAGGTAAATAGGGAATTGATTATATTTAATGACTGATTTGTTTACTAAAAATGATAGAAAACTTAAACATATTTAACTTCTTTTTATATTCATTTAGTCACTTCTGTAGATTGTGAAGCACAGACAATTACACATAACGTAGTTCCGCAGACACAGGAAAATAACGATAATGCTGCTCAGAGCTTAATATTGACTTGTGACATATATACTCAGACTCAAATTGAAGCTGAGTTAGTTGTATTTGGTACACAAACAGACAAATCAACATTAAAGGTCGAACATACGGAGAGCACTACTCAAACCTCTGAAATATCTTACGACGAGCAGTGTACACAGACCAAAATTAAGGCTAAGTTTATAGAAACACAAACTGATGAATCTTCATTCAATTCGCCCTTAAATGTTGAATATTTAGAAATCGCTTCTCAGTGCTCTATAACACCACTTACTGTGGAATCACATTTTGAGTCACCTCCAGTTTTAACAGGTATTTCTAAGAAAATTCGTTTTTTTTTTAAATTAAAAATTTTACTAACAAATTATTTAGACTTTCATAACTCATGTGTAAGTTTACTTATATGAATCATTTAAAACTAATTTTATTAAAATTATTTTACATTATGTTATGATTCAAATATAGATAAACTAGATGAATATAAATTAACTCAATTATATAAACCAGCTACAAGTGTTGAGAGATATACCCAGACAAATTCCGTATCTGAATTAAATGAGTTAACTAAAAGTGTCCTGTATACAGAGACGGGTACTCAGTGTTTGTTATTGTCACCATCCACGGATTCAATTTTGCAGAATATAGATTTACTATACTTTGCATTTGGATTTACATAAAAAAATGAAGGAAGATAACTCTTTTAGAGTGCTGCCTTCTTCAATAGATTTTTTTTTGAAAGAAATTGTTGAATGAGATTAAAAAGAAGTTTATAAAGAATAGAATGAATACGTTTTACACTTAATCAGATGCAAATATATGATATGGTTTTATGAATCACGAAAAATGAGCTT